TATTATAAAGCAGATGCTATACAAAGCATGGCTCCTGAGCCTATAAACAGTTATTATCTGGGCTGATGCTTACATGCCTTAAGCAAACAGATACCCTACAAGAAAGGTTCACTGAGGTGGCATGAATCTTCAGTGCCTGCCATATTCAGGTCAGAGTTCCTTCTGAGTTTTCCCAGCAGAGTGGCTCTCACATCACCTTCAACTCAAGGGAACGCTAAGATGTGATAAACCCATATTAGGCACTTCTCAGTTAGGAATATGTTTAAATTATGTATTATATTTAGAGAAAGGGTGAGATTAGCCACACCAGACTCAACTTTAGGGAGCATCAAGTTCCAGGTCTAAATTACGTAAGCAAGCCCAGTTACAGAATTCCATCTTCTCTTGTATTTAACTTAACCTGTAAAAATGTATCTGCCAAAATAATCCTTAGTAATTATGAAGTAAAATTTTGCCTCTCTCAAAGCAAAACCAAGGTACTTAGTCAGATGGCTAATGACAACATATTGCACTGCTGGAGACTCCAGCTCAGTGCACACCTCAAATAATGTCACACCTCAAATAATGTCTAGAAGGGGAGCAGATTTAGTCTTGGGGCAAAGTGAACAATGTACCAGATTGTGATGTCTCTTCTATTTTATCAGAAAGTAACCTAGATGGTCTTAGATAAGTCTGGTCCATTTTAGTCCTTCACAGAAGATAGGAGTATGAAATTTACAACAAAATAGTGTAATTTAGAGTAAAATTCAAATGTAATCACCACATTCTGTTTAATAGATGCTTAAGTTCTAAACATAGCAAGGAAAAGGTAAAGGATACATATTTGGCATAATTAGATTCTGCTTGAGAAACTAAATTTAGCATTATAGGTTATATACAGTGTTGTATCCATGTCAGTCTAAAGATATTAGAGATGGGTGAGCTAATATATTTTATAGGAACAACCTCTGTCTGTGAGAGAAAGCTTTCAGCTACACAGAAAACCAGAGGAATGGCCCTGTGTAGCTTGAAAGACTGTCTCATGATCAGCCATTGGTTCTATTAAAGATATTACCTCACCCACCTTGTCTCCCTATGTTACTAAATTGTTTTGAGGAACCCCAGTGTCTCAAGGAACTGGAAGTCGAATACACAGCAAGTCACTACAAGTCCTTTATCAGATGTTCACACAGGACCTAGCACAAGGGGCCCCAACCTGTCCGTAGTAGGAATGTTAAATATTGGTTAATTGAATAGTCAAGTAACCTCATGAATTCTTATCGGTTACTCAACTACTTTATAGTCCCGGAGGGCTAGGTAAGCGGTCAGTGTGCTCCAGCCTCACTCCTGAGGAGCCCCCTGACACTCCTTACTCTGCCTTCCCGCCCAGCTCTTAGTACACTTTAAATGCAGAGCCGCAACAGGGCTAGGTCCTGAACCCGTTTCAAGCCAGGACTGAGCCTGACTGCTGGTGAGCCTGCTAAAAATTTACTGGGGGTGTGCACATGTAGTCTATACCATTAACCTATAAGCTTTTATTTAACAGTTAATCAATTACATTATTACATCCCTAGTTTGAAGCTTTACACTATACCAGAGCATGAATGTTATTTAATGCTTTAAATACATTATTATTTTGGTACTGACTAAATTATCTTCAAGCATTTGTAGGGATAGAGGCAAATGGAGCTGGATCTTCTAGAAAAGTAATTTCTTAACCTTTTTGGGCTGAGGACCAATCTACATTTGGTAATGGTTTAACAGAATGAAGTGAACAGGCTGGGTGAGGTCGGAGTGGAAGAAATGTCAGGTTGCAGATCCCTTCCCACATTGTCCCCGCAGCCACAGTTCCGGTCCTGAAAGGCTGGCTGGATATGGCTTTCAACTCCAGGCACAACGTGTCTGGGGGTGCAGAATCACACAAACTGGGGTTTTCTGAACCCACGCTGTCATGACAGAGGAGCAGTGGAATATAGCCAGCCCTGTGGGACTAACAACACAGGAGCCATCATATGACATTAGGAAACGATCTGGTGACTGCACTTCAGGTTGCAAGTCATGGGCTGAGAAACCCTGTTCAAGAAAAATTCATGCCCAGTCAACATGGACTGAGCAAAGCGTGTATTAACACGGGAACCACGTCACAATAGTTCTAAACACCTCCCAGGGTGTACACAGGGCTTATGCTTGCCCTCTCTTTCTACCAGAAGGATTTATTCTTTCCCTCCATGCTGCAGACTCCCATTTCACAAGTCGAACCCCCGCCAGTGGCTGAAGAAAACTCTCTCTCTCTCTGGCTCACTGCCACAAACCAGGCACAGCGGTGCCAGCCAAACCAACAGGATTCCTTAGGCTGCCCCTGCGCTTACATT